AATAACTCGGCCAAAGCGGTCCCTTCCCCAAGGGAGAACAGATTATCCGGGGGTTATGAAATTTATTATATAGATTAAGCGCCTGGTAATCGCCTCATCTATGCAGATAATTCTATTGTGGTACAACAGCTCAGTATAATATACAATGTTGTAGTAGTTAGCGCATGATAAGGCACCTCCTGCGAATTCTTCAAACATTGTATTGATTGTATATATATGTACAGTAAAGCGCTTTAGAGTGGCTTATGTTAGCTAGATAGGGCGCTATATCAAATGTTGAAGATTATCATTATCACATCAGAGTCTGAAGAAGGCTGTTGCTTGTATTTAGATTAAAATACCGAACTGATAGACAGGTAAATAAGTTAAAATCATTAATATGAAACGTTTTCTATCTTTGCATGTTTAGCTAGTCCTTTATAATAATTTATAAAGAAATTATGGATAAACACAAAATGAAGAAACGTAACTGTTTATGATGTCACATTTTTTTGTAGTAGGTGTACCGTCTTTATATATATATATATATATATTTCTCTCACAAACATTTATTTTTATTGCTCACAATTGGCGATGAGAGATTGAGCTTCGAAATTAACGAACATCAATCAAGTGAAATGGAATGTATGAATGTCTTATGCAAGGGAGATTATTGGTAATACGTTAGCAATACATCAAAGATTGATTTCTAGCCCCTACGGGTTATAATTAGTAACGGTTTTGAAATGGATCGTTGCAAAGACAGTTAATTAAAGAATTAAATAGAGAACTGTCCATACTTGAATGTTTGTAAATGTACGATAGGAACAAGAGGCCCAATGGGCCTGCATCGCTCACCTGGTATAAATCTCACACTTGTAACCTTAAAAGTTATCTACAGCTACAGGCAAAATAAAAAATCAGTATTTATGATTAAAATTCATTCAAAAGAACCTGGTGGGTTTTTTTAAACATTTCACCCCTGTGATTGAAAGTCGAACAAAGTCATTATGTTAAACAAATTTTATAGCCTTTCATCTCAGGATGCAACTTGCAAAGTATCAACATCCTGGGACCCATGGTTATTCAGAAGAGGTCGATTAAAGATTTTAAACATTTGGGGATATAATTTCGTTTATTTCGTGGTTTTCTTAAATAATCCCAACGTTATCAAAAGCTATCAAAACAAACAGTCATGCCGCAACCCAAGTCTCGCAGCGTTTCTCAGGGATGCGTGTTTTTGCGAGATCTGCGCGAGTTGCCAATCTCTGTATTATACGTCTCTGGCTCTATGCATCAAGGAAAACATTTATAAATACGTGCCTCCTTACCTCGTATTCCTGGTAATGATAAGCATATATATGTAACATGATATTTCTGCACGCATGTGGTGTTTCTTAGATACATGTATTACAGGATCCTTCAGGCATTTCTATTCCGTGTGGGCTTTTTGGAAAGATTCCATAATATTATCACTTCAGCCAGTCTCTGGCGAGCTAAATGATGTAATCACAATGGCGTTTATGTACCTCATGGTGGAGGCGGTTTCAAGCTTGTAAAGTTAATAATATTCAGAATTAGTTTTATGAATTAGTACTCACAAGTTACCTTCACTTTGCTGTTGATTTTGCTAGTGCCCGCTGCATGGTTACACTGACATTTGGACTGTCGCTGTGGTGCTGATCAGGAGGTCTGGTGTTTGGTGTATGTAACAGCAGGCCGTTATATCTATACATGTCGGACCAGATAATATATATGGAGTCGCAGCTGTCGGCAAGGTTATCGGAACAGATAATATATATATGGAGTCACAGCTGTCGACACTATTAATGTACCTTAGTACTTATATATATACGCTCTCTGGGCTCGCACAGCTAAAACATTTGCTACATGTTATTACTAAGCTTTAGAGCTAATAGCGTTAATACAGTACATTACCTGACAAATGCTTCAAAGGACAATTTGGCAGGTTTAATGGCATATAAAGCGCTACAGGTGTCTGCTTTTGACAACCAGAACTTAACAAGCCAAACCGGTGAAGCGGGTCGGGAACATTAAGGTCATAGGAGTGTATTGCTAAACGGAAATAGGAAGTACATCCCTAGTTGAATATCCAATGTAGGGAGACAGTACCACAATTTCCGCATATTCTAATGTTTAATATTAAACTGATAGATATTGTATGTTTATTATTGACAGAACAGTGTGTTCTTTCAATATTAAAGTATTTGAAAGCAATACCGGCATTAATTCAGTTGTTTTTTTTATCAATGAGTCATATGTGTCCATTTTTCTGTACTTAAGGAAACCGGCTACCTATTTCACTACTGTGAAGTTTTTCAAGAACGATTACTCTTACATGCAATTACTATGTGTATATAGTATTATTATAAAATGTCGATTTTCAATCGTTTATAGATAATTAATTTTACACAATTTCAGCATTTATGAAATTGATATACATTAATGCAATACTAACCTATGTCAGTATCATTTTTATTGACATAATTTTGCAAAATATTGTGTTTCATTTTTTTTTTCAAAATTCACTCCTTTTTACATAAATTTCCATTTAAAATCCTTAAAATTCTGACAACCTATATTTTTTTTGTGGCAGAAAATTTTCTTTACTTCAAAGCAATATAACCACAAAATTTGAAGAAACTCTACTGAGAAATGGCGACACAATCCTATTACCTTAAATTACAATTTTGAATTAAATTAAATAAAATTCATTCAAACACGCTGACTAACGTTCTCGATACGATCTCTACACTCCTGGAAAATGCATGTCATAGCAAAATTGAAGGCACGCGGCTAGTTTTTTGATTGGTGTCGGTTAAAAAAACCTGATCACTAATCATCACTAGGCTGGTACTTAATTGTCCTTTGACGATTACAGAGGAGCAACGCCCGACTTCAATACCAGTAAGTTTTACCGTTATGCGACCGCAAGATTATTTTGTGATGTACATCAAAGGATCAAACCAGTCTTATCGTCTCGTCCAAAAGGCGATGTACATTGATATTTCAGTAAATGTAAAAGAAACCTTTTAACTATTATAGTATATAATATGTAAGTACAAAATCCAGGAGTTTGTTAGGTAGGGGCTGTCCCAATCACCTGCTCTCTGGCTTGGCAAATGTGATAGTTTGTTTTGATTTATTAATATATCACGTATTATAGCTGTTCTTAACAAAATTATGATATGGTCTATATATTTTTACATTAAGATGATTGATCCCTGTTATGTAACTATATGTTTTTATACTGTGTAACTATATACTTGTAGGATGTAATTGTGATATATGACACTATAATAAACAAAATTGACTTGACTTGACTTGATCATTTCGATTTTGCTATGACATATTCCAGGGGTGCAGAAAGTGAGGTTACCCCCATTACCCCACTCCTATCTGGATGGCTGACCCATTACCCCACTCCCTCTCCTATCCCCACTCCTATCTGGATGGCTGACCCATTCGCCCACTCCCACTCCTATCCTCACTCCTATCTGGATGGCTGACCCATTACCACACTCCCACCCACTATCTGGATGGCTGACCCCTTACCCCACTCCCACTCCCATCCCCACTCCTATCCCCACTCCTATCTGGATGGCTGACCCATTCCCCCACTCCCACTCCTATCCCCACTCCTATCTGGATGGCTGACCCATTCGCCCACTCCCACTCCTATCCTCACTCCTATCTGGATGGCTGACCCATTACACCACTCCCCCCCCCTGTCTGGATGGCTGACCCATTACCCCCCTCCCACCCACTATCTGGATGGCTGACCCCTTACCCCACTCCCACTCCCATCCCCACTCCCATCCCCACTCCTATCCCCACTCCTATCTGGATGGCTGACCCATTCCCCCACTCCCACTCCCATCCCCACTCCTATCTGGATGGCTGACCCCTTACCCCACTCCCACTCCCATCCCCACTCCCATCCCCACTCCTATCTGGATGGCTGACCCATTACACCCCTCCCCCCCCCTGTCTGGATGGCTGACCCATTACCCCCCTCCCCCCCACTATCTGGATGGCTGACCCATTACCCCCCTCCCCCCCACTATCTGGATGGCTGACCCATTACCCCTCTCCCACTCCCATCCCCACTCCTATCTGGATAGCTGACCCATTACCCCACTCCCACTCCCATCTCCACTCCCATCCCCACTCCTATCCCCACTCCTATCTGGATGGCTGACCCATTACACCACTCCCACCCCCTGTCTGGATGGCTGACCCATTACACCACTCCCCCCCCCTGTCTGGATGGCTGACCCATTACCCCACTCCCCCTCCCATCCCCACTCCTATCTGGATGGCTGACTCATTACCCCACTCCCACTCCCATCCCCACTCCCATCCCCACTCCTATCTTGATGGCTGACCCATTACCCCACTCCCACTCCTATCCCCCCTCCTATCTGGATGGCTGACCCATTACCCCATCCCCACTCCCATCCCCACTCCTATCCCCACTCCTATCTGGATGGCTGACCCCTTACACCACTCCCACCCCCTGTCTGGATGGCTGACCCATTACACCACTCCCACTCCCATCCCCACTCCTATCTGGATGGCTGACCCATTACACCACTCCCACCCCCTGTCTGGATGGCTGACCCATTACCCCACTCCCACCCACTATCTGGATGGCTGACCCATTACCCCACTCCCACTCCCATCCCCACTCCTATCTGGATGGCTGACCCATTACCCCACTCCCCCCCCCTATCTGGATGGCTGACCCATTACCCCACTCCCCCCCCCTATCTGGATGGCTGACCCATTACCCCCCCCCCACCCCCATCCCCACTCCTATCTGGATGGCTGACCCATTCCCCCACTCCCACTCCCATCCCCACTCCTATCTGGATGGCTGACCCCTTACACCACTCCCACCCCCTGTCTGGATGGCTGACCCATTACCCCCCTCCCCCCCACTATCTGGATGGCTGACCCATTACCCCACTCCCCCCCCCTATCTGGATGGCTGACCCATTACCCCCCTCCCACCCCCTATCTGGATGGCTGACCCATAACACCACTCCCACTCCTATATCGATGGCTGACCCATTACACCACTCCACCCCCTGTCTGGATGGCTGACCCATAAAACCACTCCCACTCCTATATCGATGGCTGACCCATTACACCCCTCCACCCCCTGTCTGGATGGCTGACCCATTACACCCCTTCCACCCCGTATCTGGATGGCTGACCCATTACCCCCCTCCCACCCCCTATCTGGATGGCTGACCCATTACCCAACTCCCACCCCCTATCTGGATGGCTGACCCATTACACCACTCCCACTTCCTTTCATTACAATCAGAAAATATTTGAAAATACAAATCAAATCAAAACCTGGAAAGATATACTGCCAGTACATGTATTATATAAAGCACTCCTTTGCACAAAAGAAGTTCAGCATAATATCACATTTGGATAGGTCAGCGGAATGATAAAAAGGCGACAACATACATGCACACCATACAAAACAACATACATACACTCTAAAAGGCATAGTCAGCTGAACATTTGTATCGTTTAAAGCGCTAAAATATGACGACTGTTATAACTATGTACGTTTACAGAATCCAAGAACACTTTTACTGTCCACTGTCATCGATATATACCTAAAACCATTTATTATATATATATATTATATCACACAAACTGCTGTGATTTGTTTTGAAAACATGACTAAAAACTACACTTATACGACATAGCTCGGGCTATCATACGACACACTCTAGCCAAGCTTACTTCTACTACGGGCTATCATACGACACCATCTAGCCAAGCTTACTTCTACTACGGGCTATCATACGACACCATCTAGCCAAGCTTACTTCTACTACGGGCTATCATACGACACCATCTAGCCAAGCTTACTTCTACTACGGGCTATCATACGACACCATCTAGCCAAGCTTACTTCTACTACGGGCTATCATACGACACCATCTAGCCAAGCTTACTTCTACTACGGGCTATCATACGACACCATCTAGCCAAGCTTACTTCTACTACGGGCTATCATACGACACCATCTAGCCAAGCTTACTTCTACTACGGGCTATCATACGACACCATCTAGCCAAGCTTACTTCTACTACGGGCTATCATACGACACCATCTAGCCAAGCTTACTTCTACTACGGGCTATCATACGACACCATCTAGCCAAGCTTACTTCTACTACGGGCTATCATACGACACCATCTAGCCAAGCTTACTTCTACTACGGGCTATCATACGACACCATCTAGCCAAGCTTACTTCTACTACGGGCTATCATACGACACCATCTAGCCAAGCTTACTTCTACTACGGGCTATCATACGACACCATCTAGCCAAGCTTACTTCTACTACGGGCTATCATACGACACCATCTAGCCAAGCTTACTTCTACTACGGGCTATCATACGACACCATCTAGCCAAGCTTACTTCTACTACGGGCTATCATACGACACCATCTAGCCAAGCTTACTTCTACTACGGGCTATCATACGACACCATCTAGCCAAGCTTACTTCTACTACGGGCTATCATACGACACCATCTAGCCAAGCTTACTTCTACTACGGGCTATCATACGACACCATCTAGCCAAGCTTACTTCTACTACGGGCTATCATACGACACCATCTAGCCAAGCTTACTTCTACTACGGGCTATCATACGACACCATCTAGCCAAGCTTACTTCTACTACGGGCTATCATACGACACCATCTAGCCAAGCTTACTTCTACTACGGGCTATCATACGACACCATCTAGCCAAGCTTACTTCTACTACGGGCTATCATACGACACCATCTAGCCAAGCTTACTTCTACTACGGGCTATCATACGACACCATCTAGCCAAGCTTACTTCTACTACGGGCTATCATACGACACCATCTAGCCAAGCTTACTTCTACTACGGGCTATCATACGACACCATCTAGCCAAGCTTACTTCTACTACGGGCTATCATACGACACCATCTAGCCAAGCTTACTTCTACTACGGGCTATCATACGACACCATCTAGCCAAGCTTACTTCTACTACGGGCTATCATACGACACCATCTAGCCAAGCTTACTTCTACTACGGGCTATCATACGACACCATCTAGCCAAGCTTACTTCTACTACGGGCTATCATACGACACCATCTAGCCAAGCTTACTTCTACTACGGGCTATCATACGACACCATCTAGCCAAGCTTACTTCTACTACGGGCTATCATACGACACCATCTAGCCAAGCTTACTTCTACTACGGGCTATCATACGACACCATCTAGCCAAGCTTACTTCTACTACGGGCTATCATACGACACCATCTAGCCAAGCTTACTTCTACTACGGGCTATCATACGACACCATCTAGCCAAGCTTACTTCTACTACGGGCTATCATACGACACCATCTAGCCAAGCTTACTTCTACTACGGGCTATCATACGACACCATCTAGCCAAGCTTACTTCTACTACGGGCTATCATACGACACCATCTAGCCAAGCTTACTTCTACTACGGGCTATCATACGACACCATCTAGCCAAGCTTACTTCTACTACGGGCTATCATACGACACCATCTAGCCAAGCTTACTTCTACTACGGGCTATCATACGACACCATCTAGCCAAGCTTACTTCTACTACGGGCTATCATACGACACCATCTAGCCAAGCTTACTTCTACTACGGGCTATCATACGACACCATCTAGCCAAGCTTACTTCTACTACGGGCTATCATACGACACCATCTAGCCAAGCTTACTTCTACTACGGGCTATCATACGACACCATCTAGCCAAGCTTACTTCTACTACGGGCTATCATACGACACCATCTAGCCAAGCTTACTTCTACTACGGGCTATCATACGACACCATCTAGCCAAGCTTACTTCTACTACGGGCTATCATACGACACCATCTAGCCAAGCTTACTTCTACTACGGGCTATCATACGACACCATCTAGCCAAGCTTACTTCTACTACGGGCTATCATACGACACCATCTAGCCAAGCTTACTTCTACTAAACAACGAGTATTTTGCATGCAGTCAAATATATCTTACCAACTACATTTGAAAAAATCCCAGCCGATTTGTATAGCACTGCTATGAATTCTCCATTTTTGTCATCGTATACTTCTGTAGGATATTCTCCACGCTGAACATGTAAACACCAGTCCACCCTCATCAGACTTGGGCGTCTTCATTCCTGAATGTTTTCCATCAACGTCTCTAACACCAGAAATCTCACTTAAATCCCTAGAAGTCTCAAGTCTCGATCTCACTAACACCAGAAGTCTCGCTAACACTGGTATTCCCACTAACATTAGTTGTATCACTAGCACAAGAAGTTTCACTATCACGAGTAGCCCAACAAACACCACGAGTCTCACTAACACCACAAGTCTCACAAACACCACAAGTCTCACAAACGCCATGAGTCTCATTAACTCCAGTAGTCTCACTAACACCATGAGTCTCAAAAACACCGCGAGTCTCACATACACCGCGAATCTCAAACACCACGAGTCTCACTAACACCACGAGTCTCACTAACACCACGAGTCTCACAAACACCACGAGTCTCACAAACACCACGGGTCTCACAAACACCACGAGTCTCACAAACACCACGAATCTCACAAACACCAAGAGTATCACAAACACCACGGGTCTCAAAAACACCACGAATCTCACAAACACCAAGAGTCTCACTAACACCACGAGTCTCACTAACACCACGAGTCTCACTAACTCCAGTAGCTGCCCTTACACAAATTGACATCGGTTGTGTCATTTACATCAGTAATCTTGTTAACATCAGTAGTCTCACTAACGAAGTTGTCTCATTAACACCAACGTTCTCACCAACTAACTCTGAGGCACCGCAGATGTTTCTCATTAACTGGTTTTGTTGGTAATGCCAGGATGCACTTAATGCCATCTCATGATCAGATCCAACGCTGTTATTTACCTCCTCACTTGTGTGTGTCTTATAGTGTGTTAGCAGATCAGACCTTAAGTTGATTTACCTCCTCACTTGTGTGTGTCTTATAGTGTGTTAGCAGATCAGACCTAACACTAAACGTCCCACCACATATATCACAGTTACAGGGTGTCTCTCCAGGTTGTGTCCCACAATGAACCAGAAGTGAAAAGGAATCTTTATTATTATCTTTACCAGCCCCATCAGGCTCACACAGATTCTTTCCTGTATGTGTCCCTAGATGTGCCTTCAGGTGGGAAGAACGACTAAATTTCTTACTACATACATTACAATGGTACTTCTTTTCTCCTGTATGTGTCCGGAGATGTCTGTGTAGCAGAGACGAACCCCTGAACTCCTTACAACAGACACCACACTTGTACGGTTTCTCTCCAGTGTGTGTCCTCAGGTGTATCTTAAGATGTGAAGACTGCGTAAATTCCTTACCACAGACATCACACTTATAAGGCTTCTCTCCTGTATGTGTCCTGCGATGTATCTGCAGTGTAGACGATTCATTGAATTTCTTGCCACAGACATCACACTCGTAAGGCCTCTCTCCTGTATGTGTTCTGACATGCACCTGTAGCGTTGAGGAATCGCTGAAAGTTTTCCCACAGAAATCACAGGCGTAAGGCCTTTCTCCTGTATGTGTCCTGCGATGTGTCTTTAGGTGTGACGACCGACTGAAGCTCTTACCACATATATCACACTTGCACAGCTTCTCTCCGGTATGAACACTGAAATGCCGTTGAAGCTTCGAGGATTCGCTGAACTCTTTACTACAGAGATCACATTTGTACGGTTTTTCTCCTTCGTGTATCATCTGATGTCTCTTTAACTGCGAAGTCCGCGCAAATCCCTTACCACATACATCACATCCGTATGGCTTTTCTCCCGAATGTGTTCTAATATGTCGCTGTTGCGTAGCAGTGTCTCTAAATCCCTTTCCACATACATCGCACTTGTACGGTTTTTCTCCTGTATGTGTCATGATATGCGTGTTCAGGAGCGATGGCCGATTGAACCCTCGATTACATACATCACATTTATACTGCCTTTCTCCAGCATGTATCTTAAGATGTTTCCTTAGTGTAGACGATTCAGTAAATTCCTTGCCACAGACATCACACTTGTAAGGTTTCTCTCCTGTGTGTGTCCTGAGGTGTACCAATAATGTACACGACTCCCTGAAATCCTTACCACAAGCATCACACTTGTAAGGCTTTTCCCCTGTATGTGTCTTGTGGTGTCGCTTTAAGTGCGATAACCGATTAAACCCGTTCCCACACACATCACACTTGAAAGGCTTCTCTCCTGTATGTGTCCCCAAATGTATCTGAAATGTTGATGACTTGCTGAACTCCTTACCACAAATATCACATGTGTAAGGCTTCTCTCTCGTATGTGTCTTGATGTGTCTCTGAAGTGAAGATGACTGATTAAATCCCATACCACACACATCACACTTGTAAGACTTCTCTCCTGTGTGTATCTTAAAATGTCTATTTACCGTAGATGAGTCTTTAAATCCTTTACCACACACATCACACTTGAAAGGTTTCTCTCCTGTGTGTGTCCTGATATGAATTTGCAGTGTTGACGAATCAACAAAACCTCTTCCACAGACATCGCACTTGTATGGTTCATCTGCTCTTAGTGGGTTAGATAACTGACTAGATTCATTACCAGAGCTCATTACACTCCTTACCGAAGACTTTACACTAGTAGCAAGATCCATTTCTTGTAGTGATATTGAGTCGTTAGGATAGATGACGGCTGAAATTCCTTACCATATGTACTGAAGGGATTTATCAAGTTAATGTGTCGTGTGGCGTTGCTTTAAGCATGATGGATGCCTGAACCTTTTTACAGATTTCACATTTTGAAGGCTCCTCTAGATCTTCTGTTCAATTTGTTTTTGTCCTCTTTTGTCATTGAATGCATTTTTCACACAAACTCTCCAGACATTATGCTTAACATACTGGGAGTTGTCTTTTCTTGATCTCCTGACTAAGCGTTGTCTTCTTTTGATTGTTGTCCAGTTAAAAATCTCCGCTCGGATTGTATTTTATTTTCTCTCTCTTTTTAACGGAAAAAGTTGAGCTCGGTAAAAAATTCTCATTCAACTATTTTTGATCATGAGCTTCAATTAACCCAGACAAATCACTTGAATGAATCTGAAACATAAAGAAATGAAAGGCAAGATAAAATCTCATCTTTGCTTCATATGTAACTGTTGAGATCCTAAGATCATGATCATATTTACGAATTTTGTCCAATTGTTTCCTTATAGTGTAATCTGTTATAACATATTGCACCATGCAAAAATTTCGTAATTTTATTATACCTATCAGGTAATTTACAATGAAATTTAAGGACAAGCAATCTTTCCAAAGTGTTGACAGAATCTCCCGCCCCTTTCCTAACCCAACCACAACTCATCCAGCAACTTATGTCTTTGTAACTTGACTCTTCTGTTGCTGTGACCCACTGCCCCTGCGAAACTTTGTTCTGGAACTGTTCTAGAAATTTTCACAGGGGTGTCCGAGTTCCAAGGCGCAAGGCCAGACCCCTGAGCCAATTCTGATAACATGATTGTGTAGGACTCTTTTTTACCATGCAAATGTATATATGGATATCGAGTAATTAAAAGGATCCCACCTTTACAAACATTTGACTCAGAAATGATTATTAATGGGTGAGGCTGGATCTTGGAGGTGACTTCCTCCTTTTATAGTCAGCAACAGTATATTTCCTAAAATGATCTGCATCTCATCGTTTCTGTGTAATGATCCAGTGAATAACTCCCTAAGGGCTGGGACAGACCCTGTGGTTAATTCCGGTAGCATAGTCGTCTCTTTATACCACACAACTTTCAGTGGCATCACTACCTTGTGGAAATGTTAATCATCAGGCTTCAAGGAGATGATTCCTGGGACCAAAGCCTGGTTTATGGATCAGGGGTAATCCCAAAATGAAGAACCTGTTAACAATTTTTTCACTCAGGACCATTTTTATTTTTCTCCTTGGCCTACCCTGAAGACAACATAATCATTTAAACAAATAATATCCAAGCACCTGATTTTACGAAATTTTTCCGGTCCCAAAACTTTGAGTAGGTTTTTTAAATTTCTCATCTCCTAAAAACAACCTCTCCACAGCGGCAGCATTTTCAATATCAAAGGATTTCACTCTGCATAGATGTCAGCAGATGCATTAGTTTAAATGAATATGTCCATCAATATAAACTCTTTTTATCATTTCAGTCCCTAAACATTGGTTTTGGGTAGGTTTTTTTTTAACATTTCTCATCTCCGAAAAACAACTTCTCCACAGCGGCAGCATCTTCAAAATCAAAGCATTTCATTCTGCATTTACATTTTGAGAGACTGACATATTTTGGATTTTAATTTTGAAGATGTCAGCAGATGCATTAGTCTAATTTGTCAGACATTTTGTCGAATTAGAAAACGGATGTCATCATTGAGTTCGCAGTAACATCATACAACTTCATGCCATATTTGGAATGCATTGGAAAACTTCTATAAAACATGTAAAATAGGATAGGTGACATTGGCTATCTTTAGCGAACACCTTTAGAAATTTTTAAATTCCCAAAAATTTCAAAAATTCATGGTGGCCATCTTTGATGGTAATCGGAAAAACAATGAAGTACAAACCCAAGTCAAAACTTGCAGGAACTATATACGGTATATATGCATGTCATGGGTAGCTATATACATATGTCAGGGCCGGGGTTAAGGGCAATAATAATGCAGTACCAAATACATACAATATATTGCAATTTGTTTTCAATTAATTGTTTGGGGGGTTTCAATTAAGTTATGAAAAAATTGTAAAGAAATAACGTCAAGATTGAATCAGTTTTATCTAAAAGCAGCATGCTGGTATGATATCTTCCAAAACCTTGAGTATAATAGTTTTCCAATTTTCATTGCTGACCTGATGCTCATTTTAAGTATTTTCTACCAGTTTATAAAATCATTGTAAATTTACTAAATTTCTAGCTGTACAATATATTGTGATACTTTGCAATATTTGCTGAAACATTGCAATATATGGCAATATGAAAATTGCTTGTGATACCAACCCGACTCTTCATTTCTGGACAAACAAAATAGAGGGCCCTATCTTTTTAATCAAGGGGGCCACAAATAAAGTGCATTACCCCCATGTATATACATGTATGTTGTCAAATACTGCAGTCCAAAGTTAAACATTGAAAGAGTTATGGCCTGTCAATATAGAAATACACAAAGGGACATAACTCTGGGGCTTCATGATCTTAATTGAATACAGGAAACGTATACTTTGCCATGCCCAGATGAATACATGTATATATGCCCCTTAACTTTGGTGATCCTATACTACATGTCAGTAAAAACTTGTACAAAATGTGGTCCAGACAAAAAAGGCACAAGTGATGAAAGGGTTTTAAGTGCCCATAGTAAAAAGTTTGATGACATCATTATAGTTTTTGGGTAACAGCTGGTGTACGGTAAACACCTCATTTACACCTGTATATGTACAGCTTTCAGCAAATGAAACGAAAAACAAGCTCTTTACATTTTTTATATGACTGTAGAAGAATAGCTTGCATTTCATCAAATATCACTTAAATATCTGTTCATTTAATTGAAATCATATATAAATCACCTGGAAAGGTAAATTTTGAAGGTGATCTTTATCTTTGTAAGACACAACCGTTACTCCTTGATTAATGCTTATGATTGGAATGTAATTTATGACAGCTCTTGAGTAGCTGTCTTGTTACGGTCATGTGATCATGAACTGCTGTCCTATTTCAATATATATACCCGCAGGTACCTACCGTGTTGTAATGATCTATATTGAAATTAGATTTATCATGTAGATATTGTTCTGCTTGACTAATTTCATTGTTGCTTTTCATTTCCAACAGCATCAGCTTCAAAATATCCTGTGAAATATAATCATAACCCTAAGCTATAAGCTAATATTCTCTAACTTGCAAAGAAGGGAATCGATGAATGTTTGGTATAGAAATGAGGAGGAGTACTGTCCACATTTCTATACCAAACATTCATCGATTCCCTATTTTGCAAGTTAGAGAATAGTAAGCTTGGTGCTAAAGTCCAATGCTTATTAACTGGAAATCTGACGTTAGCCGACATCATATCCTTGATCACAACTTCCCCGCTTTCACTTCAAAAGCTTCTAAACATTTGCTATGAATACAGTCGTGAGTGGAAATTCGTATTTAATCACTCAAAGTGTAAAACTGTTGTTATTGGAAATTACATCCCAAGACAGCCTGATGCTAGTTGGATGCTTGGACCTGTCACTATTGAGACCACCTCCTCTCAAGTTCATCTAGGAACTATTGTAAGCTCACAAATGTCTAACGCAGAACGCATCCAGGCTGCGTGTGACAAAGGGAGAAAGACGCTACATTCTATCATAGGGCTTTGTCCCTCAGCATGTGATATCAATCCTCTAGTAAAAATCAGTCTTTATAAAAAAAAGTGATACTACCGTCAATTCTATATGGATGCGAGCACTGGGTTCAACTCGGTAATACCAACCTCGCGAAACTTAGTCGCTTTCAACATTACGCTGCTAAGGTCATTCTTGGAGCTGATCCAGGTCAGATATTGTTGAGCCTATACTTGGTTTGATTAGAATTTCTGCAGCTATTGATAAGAGGAAGCTAATATTTCTGGGAAAATTTGTTCTGAATGAGCAGTCTCTCTTAACAAGAAGATTATGTTCATTCCTTCATTTGAAAACGGAAAATGTGAGAAGTGTTTGTGAAAGAGACTGAGAAACAACCGTGATTTTGATATATTTAGGAACTGTCACTCCTCCTACAACCCGTACATTATGTTGCGAGCGGCAAAATCTAACAGAGACATAGAAGCAATTTACCCATTGTAGACTATTGGCAAAGCCTTCGGCACCTGACCAGAACGTTCAATGCTTCAAGTGTTCCCAACATTTCTGCGACGTCATATCCCACTATTGCTGTACCTGCGAGTACACCAGTGAACTCTGGTCTCATTTTCTACAGATGACCCTGTATAGGTTTGGATCGAATGTGTTCAGTTACATTGATCAACATGACAATGCTACCTTTGTTCACAATTTATTAGGTGCAAAAACAGGTCCCCAATTTCAAGATGATACAACACAAAAACTGTTTCTGATGCATGCAGCATACTTTGTCGTGCGCGCTTCGCGAACTCACGAGAATGGAATGATTTAAGAAACCATGACTAAGACTTTTACTCGCGTTCGTGAGGACACAGTTCTTTAGCTGTGCCCTACCGCGGCATTCTCTGTCCTTTTTGTAATTTTTACTTTTTTTCTTGTACACAAATATCTCCCTTTTGGAGGAAATAAAGTTTGATGATGATGATGATGATAATACCATGAACGTTAAGATCTAGAGAATGCCTATGGGAAATGTTTGAGAAAAGAGCAATAGGCCATACCTATGGAGTATCATTTACAACTATTTTTACTAAATGATAAGGAAGTTTAATACAATACATCTCCAGCACACACACAGACATGCATACACATAGGGAGATACCATAGCCAGGTGGCATGTATATAGGACTAGTAGTAAGTGCCTGATAAAGCAGCTCCTGCAAATTTCTTAAAATTGTATTGATTAATGTATATATATATATATATGCTAATTGTATTGATTGTATAAACTGTATATCTATGTACTGTGTTAAGAGCTTCAGAGTGGCTTATTCTAGCCAGATAGAGAGCTACATCAAATGTTGTATATTATTATTATTTGCTTTTCCCCACAGCTTGTCATTTCAGTCTTCTTGCATTTGTTGAACGCATGTTTCCAGATTCTTTCACACATTTCCCAGGAGAGCAAAACCTAAACAGGCAAGAATTCTGCATCCTTAACAAACTTATCAAAATCCATAGTTCAAAGTTTCGTGTGTGCTAATTAATATAAATTCAACAACAACAGTACTAGGAGTGACTTGTGACAATGAACTTGTAACAGGAGATAGATAATGCCAGCCAGACTGGGTTTCGAACCAGCTGGGACCCTTAAATCTCTAGATGGACGCCCGCTCTACCAATTGAGATACCTAGCTGGTCGCCTACAATCAACCTAGTCCATTTCCTAAGAGATCGCCCCCAC